CACTTTCAGTACATTTTTCGATGAATTACATGAGATATTCAACACTTTGTTATAAAATAGGCTTTGTGTTGATGATTTTGCCCAACTGTAGGCTAATGTAAGTGTTATAAGCATGTTTAAGGTATGCTAGGCTATGATGTTTGGTAGGTTAGGTGTACTGTGTTAAAATGCGTTTTTGCCTTGCGACATCTTTGCCTTACGGTTTATGGGGACTTAACCCCATCGTAACCTGGGGAGGGGCTGTATTGGGGGGAGATTAAAATCCCCATGAGAACACATGACTGATACGGTTACAGATTAAAGGTGTGACCACCACAGTTGGGTAATTCAGGTCCAGAAAATAAAAATCAACCAACGACTTGAGCATGAAGAGTCACAATTACAGAGTACTTAACTGGTTGGTTGAAACTAAATCTTGGTCTGGTCTTTTACTCTCTGGACCTGAACTTCCCACCTCTGCTGACCACAGACTGTCTGACCAGCTCCCCAGCAAATAGTTTAGGGTACATATTCAGATGTTATACAAAGAAGCCTGGGGATCTAGGTGCAGCTCTAATGTAACACATCTGATACAGATAAGTATTAGAGCCAGCTAAGTTGAAGCTAAGTTAGCTCTAATACTGAGATGCTACTGAAGGGTCTGATTATCTGCCTCAGGTGTCTTAAATTAGGGCTGCGTCTAAACTCTGCAGGGTGGTCGACCTCCAGGAGCAGAGATAGTGACCACTGATCTAGAGAATGTGGCGTATTTTTTACTCCGAGAAGGAAAACAGAAACACATAACGACATTTGATAGTAAGAAGCAGTGTGGTGTTGTATCTATGCTGAATGACTGGGAATGGCCCAGGAGTCCATATCTCTCTGAATCAGCCGTGTTCTGGGGCCGGGCCTCCATCGATTGGTGACGGCGCCGCCCCGGTGGTCGCTACCTGGATGTGATTCCTGTCCTGCAGCGGGACGTACAGAAGTGCCCAGTCACTGAGGTGGGAAGGCTATCTCACATCCACCGGCCCCCACCCCCTGCCTGTGGGCCTGATCACTGGGCATTCTGTCATTCCGGAAGGGAAGGGAGGTAGAGAGAGAGAGAGAGAGAGAGAGAGAGAGAACTCTAATTTTCTGTTACATCCTCATGTAGCATGATTTTATTCTAAAAACCCTGATGCCCCTTCTATAGCCCCAGCACCGCGCCTTGGTGAACCACTCAGACTCTGATGCCAACTCCAGAAAGGAGAGCTCACGGCAGCAGAGAGGATCATGGGATGCAGGTGGGCCTTCCTGAGGGCTCTGTGTGCTTGACTCACAATGGAGGAACTTGTCCCCGAGTGGAAGCGTCCCGGAGCACCTGCCAACCAGCCGGGCATTGTGGGTTAACAAAGACCGCAGCGGCGCAGCAACGGGATCTGCGTTTAAAGTCTTACGTTTGAAACTGGGGGAAAAAAATTGCACCTGGCTTTTCCACAGGACTGTGGCTCATTCCGCCTGCTTCACCTTCAGCTGTAGACAGGACTGTTCTGCAGCCGCCATGACGTTGTAATTTACTACAGTAAAACTAATATTTCCCTGGTGGAAAGTAGGATCCATCTGCTGGTCTGCGGTCACACGGCTGGGAGGACACCAGTATACATTCCCCTTTCAGAATCAGCCTTCTCTGCTGTTTAAGTGCCTCCTTAAACCCAGGGCCACCCTGTGTCTCATTGTGTCTCTCATCAGGATTTCTGTCCTGTTTCACCGGGGAAGTCAGATGTCTGATAGCAGCCTCATCACAACATGTCCTTCACATTTCATCAGACCATAAAATTTGCCCACAAAAGGCCAGTTTTTATGCGGCGCTGGTAACGGTTGAATGTACGTGTACTGGTTACTATCAGTTAGCGCTGATTACGAGTCGGTTTTATACCGCATATCCAATCGATCGACGAAAAGCCACCCGAAATCCTTTGATTAATGTGAAATCCTCAGCTACTTAAGCTTGGCGGCTAAGGGAGGGGGACAGGATTGTTCTCTCTCTCTCTTTCTCTCTCTCTCTCTTTTTAATTGAATGCTGGCAGCGCTGTGCAGTACCTTGGCCGAGGTACCGCTGTAGGCGAGGGAAATTCGAAGGCCATTCTCATTAGGGGAGAGACGTTAGCGAAAAGCGATGACTTGGCGGGTCTTAGAGCTTTCCTTGTGAAAGCTGGATTTACCGTGCCGGATGCGCGCCGGGCAGCCCTGATAAATTACCCTATATGCCACTGATCTACTGTTTTCATTTAACCACAGAGCATTAAAGAATAAACAGGCAGTGTGGCGTGAGGCATTTTTTTATTTTTATAGGCGGAAGGTTCCGGATCCCGTGTTCCTGGATGCCAGCGTCCTGTAGGGTTCAATTAGCGCCTGGTTCACACCTGAGCTCCAGGTACCACATGATATATTCAGTATTACCTGACAGGGGTCCAGCCTGAGTCTGGGGTGGGTGTGTGTGCATCTGTGTGTGCGTAGTTACGCTATGAATCTGGCCAATCACATGTGTTATTTATAGCTGTACGAATTTACAAAGACTCTCTAAGGTCTGTGGTTCTTAAATCGACTGTGTAAATATGTAATGAATGGGCTTGAGCAAAATATTGCATACTGAACAAACTGCAGCAATTAGGGGACACATGAACCTGGTCCTGTTTATGGGTCAGCAGTTCTGGTTCTCGGATTGTTTTTTAACTGGCTTCACTTTTAACCAGCCCTAAGCCTGCTGTCGATCTGTCTTACTATTACAGAGAGTCTTGCTGGCTGATTGAAAAAATGAATATGGCCACTCTTCAGTATTCATGGCATTCCAGTTTCCTCCTACAATCTAAAAGCATGCAGTTAGGTGAATTGGTGACTCTAAACTGGTCATAATCTATGTGAATGTGTGTATGTGTGTCCCCTGCATTGCGCCCTGTGCTGCGAGGAATGGGATTCGTTCTCACTCACCATGACTCGGCTGGTGAAGCGGCTACGAAAGATGGATGTAAAGAGTGATTTCAGAAAGAGATACTCGCAGCGTGTTCAGTGTAGCACTAAGTGACCTGTGAAAACACATGATGACGTTGATATGTTGAATTTGAGACTTTGGCTCCGCCTCCACACTGCTAGCAACGATGCGAGCAACTTTTGCGATAAAAGTCTCCCCTCTCCTCCACCTCTCCTCCGCCCTGAAAGTGGGCCAGGAGCTGCCTGCGTGGGGGCCGCTGCGGCTCCCAATGACGAGAACGGCTGCGTGAGGGGGATTCTGTTACTGATGTGGGCCAGTACTTTTTGAGGACACCTCCCCAGTGTCACACGAGTGTCACACACATACTAACGAACGGTTGGGCAATTAAGGGACTCCTGGCTCCCTCCTTCGTCAGCCCAAACACTTCTAGCCACATTTATGAGTTTTTTGTGCTCACTGGAGCAGACTGGTCAGGACAGTCTGCGTGTAATAAATGTCTCTACAGAAATAAATGGCAAATGCCCCAGTTGCTAAAAAATTCTACTTCCTCGATGCAGCCAATCAAAATATGGCAAGTAGAGAATAGGATCGTGTTTTGTGACGGAAAGAATAGTCAAGGTATTAAATATAAATATGCCTATTGATGCTCAAGGCCTATATAAAGTTTTATAGCTTTTCACGCAAATTCAGCCTCATTTGGGGTTTAAATGACAGCAACACTTGGACAGTGGCTCTAATTGTAGGCAGCAATTAAACTAATTACGGTAATTTGAGAACGAAGTGTTCTCTTTAGAACTCAAAAAGCATGTCATCGTCGAAAAGGAAAATGGCTGAACCACTGGGCTCAGGGGGGCGGGGTAGCTCGCTGCGGCCTCTTCAGAAAAGCACCATGATCCTCTGCTGCACCTCCCGAAAAAGTCTCTGCCCGTAAGGAGCTTCCTCCCCATCTTTGCCTGGTCTCTTGGTGCTCTAATGCACCTCCACCAAGCCGGCAGCCTTTATAGAGGGCGAGGACCAATCAAAGAGCTTCGTGGAGCAGAGTGGGCGGGCCTTCGTAAATCAGCATCAGTGTGCAGGGAAATACACTGAGGTGGACTCCAAATACAGAGCCCACTGCAGGCTGCACATCCAGATCCATTCAGCAAAAAGGTATTTCTCTTTGTTCACTGTGATTACTGTGAGCATCAGCTGGGCTGCATCCTCTCTCCTCGCAAGACACCATCACAACAAATGCCTCCTTCTTCACCCACGGCTGGGACCCCGGCAGTCAGCACCAGTTACAGCATGATGAACAGGGACCAAAGGTTTGGCTCAGTTCACCTTTGAGTGCCCACACAGCTTGCCACAGATGTGTCCTGCGGTAGCATGTCAGCGTCCGCTGTGATTATGGAGAACAAACGCATCTCCCAGGAAGACAGGCTCCTACACGGATACGGTTTCACACATAGGACACAGCAGGCCTGAAGGTGCCAGTACTTCTCATGTACCGGATAACAATCTTAGTGTTGTTCTCTAAGCCCATTAGGCCATTTATTTTCATAAGTAGAACAGGGCCAATCGAACTGGCCATGTGTTTCACCAAAAGAAATTCTTGACAGGCATAATAATAATAATTATTTGGTTTTACGGTTTAGGCTGCAGTTTTAGGGAAGAAAAAAAATTATAATAATCCTAACAAAAACAATAACGTTCCATACCACTACGTGCTTTGGACCCTTAATAAAAATAATATTAATAATAATAAAAATACTGACATAGGGATGCCATCTACTGGAAAACGTGTTTCATTACAATATGTCAGGATCTGAAGTTTACATTCTTAAACGGGATCCGAACTGCGAACTGTTACTAAACAATAGACAATATGTGCATCTAAGAATATAGAAAGATAATATAAGTAGGGTCGTGTCAACGTTTTGTAAAGTTTTGGTTGAACAAAATAGTGTTATAAATCGAACAAATACGCACGGACTCTTGCTCCTTTCACTCTGAGGGGGAGGCGTGGCCACACCCCCCGCCCCGCCCCGGCGTGCTGACGTCACAACGTGCTCGTTTGCGTGCCGGGTGCGTGCCCGAAGCGCAACCTCCGCAGAAGTTCACGAAGTGAAGAAAAGCGGCGGTCTGCGGAGCTGAAGTCGGTGTTCACGAAATCGCGCTAAGGTGAGTAAATAATGCATGGACACGTGAGAGGAATAGCAGCCGCGGGCCTTGGTGCCGCGGGTTTGGCGGCTTCGCTCGACGGCTGCGCATTAGAGGAAGCGGCCGGGTGACATGCCAATTTTTCCGCCGGGAGTGACCGACCTGTGGAGACGCGAGCCCGCTGCTCTTAACGCGTGGCTGAGACCGGGGTGGCTTATTTTGGCGGATGGGAAAACGTGGAGCGGGTAGAGGTCATCAGCCCTGCGCGGAGGAGTCAGCCTAGGGAATACCGGGGTGCTCCGTGTGTGGCGTGTAGCAGTGCGCCGTGACCCGGCAGGCATTTAACGGTGTGAGTGGCTTATAGAGGGAGGGCACATACCCGGGGTTGGGGACTCATCATCGAGGAATCAGAGCTGGTTCCGAGTCCAGCTTCCACTTGACCATGCTGGGTGTGGTAGAGTCGGCTTCTCTTCCATGTGTATAAATAACAGCGGCGAATCCCTGCTGAGGCCTCTTAGCTGGTTTATCTGAGCTGCTCTTTGTGAGTATCAGGTGGGAAGACTACCAGGCTCACCGTTCCCCACTTGTTTCTGCAGTCAGCACAGCGTGCAGGGTGACCCGCTCAGCAGTCCTGCTTGGGGACGATGGCCACGCCTTTCGTTCCGGTTCCGGTCCCCGTGGAGCGAGTCCAGCGAGGCAGGAGCCCCTCGCGAGTCTGGAGGACATCCTCATCTGGAAGCACATCCACCAGCTCAAACTCCCCATCCAGAGTGCAGGGGGATGAGGCGGGACCCTCCCCACAGGCCCAGCCGAACGGGATGGGCTCATCCATACAGGGCTCTGCACCTCTTGAGGTGAAAGAGGGCCCTCAGGGGCCTGGCTGGGAGGAGCGGCCCCTCACCCCAACCCTGCTAGGCTATGAGGTCATGGAGGAACGCGCAAAATTCACCGTAAGACTTAATTCCCGTTTCTCTCAACGCTACCCATGGGCTCAGATTTTGCCCCACCCTTGTGCCGCTCTTGCATCCCTTTGGGGGGGCGCTGTGTAAGCTGGTATGGTTGGCACGTGTTTGCGCAGGTGTTGTGGTCCGTGGTGGGAAGTTTATGCCTGGGGGTCGGGTGAGTTAACAGGACTGTGTGCTGATTTAGACAGGTGTGTTACATAGTTTTGGTGCAGCTTGCGTTGTGCTGCTTATCAGATACAGCCAAAGGCATCCTGTCGACAAGATGCCACAGATATAAAGCCTCGGCAAGGAGGATGTTGTCATTGTGTGTCACTTCACAGGACAGAAATGTCAGGGAACAATACGGCATGTGAAAAGTACCCAATTAGAATAAAGTGATGTCCAGAGTACCTGTATTATATTGTCATGGATGATGGTTTCGCAGTTTCCCTGGGGGAATTTAGGACACAGATGGACCACGTTTGTTCCTGTTTCCTGCGTCATTCAGCTTTATTCTCATTGGCTGTTCGCTCCATCTCCGAGGCTCTGAATAAAATGGTCGTCTCCCTTGGGCTGCCTGCTTTAGAGCCTCTTCCTCTTCCTGTTGTTCAATAGTCTCACACGGTCCAGAGAGCTACCTGATGGAAAAATCTGAGTCATTTCTTTATTGTGCCCTTTATAATGCCCATCAGAATTTAACTGGATATGATCAAACCTTGACAAACTGGTATTCGTATTTGTACTGCGTGTTTCACAGGTTAAGAACGGTAAACTGTATTTTATCATGTATGCACCTGGTGGGGTGCTGTGGTCTGTTCTGGTTCGTACTGGCATGTGTGGGGGTTCTGTCGCCTGCTCTGTCTGGAACTGCACCTGTACCAGATGAATTACGGTATTTCAGTGCAAAGTGCAGCTCCACTTGCTGCTTGTGAAGTTAGCCAGGTCCCCTGCTTTCGAACCTGGTCGTTCACCACCATTCCCTCTGCGTCCCGCAGGTCTACAAGATCCTAGTACGGAAGACTCCGGAAGAGAGCTGGGTGGTGTTCCGGAGGTACACTGACTTTGCAAGGCTTAACGGGAAGGTGAGCTCGCCCTCTGAGGGCACGTGCCTGTAATGGCACCTCACCAAAATGCCCGCTGGTCCAACCTGACCCCAGGCCAGAACGCACCTGCCCCCACTGATGTTTCACTGAGCCCTTAAACTCCGAAGGACAATTAAAATCACATTTCAATGCTGCGTTTATTCATATGTGGAATTATGTTACAGGGGTTCTTCCACAGCTTTTATTGTTTTACTTTCATTATTTATATTTATAGTTATATCATCATCTAAGTGGCAACCGTGGACCAGACAGCACAAGTTGAGTTTTTACTCAACAATAGTTGCTTAAGTGATACTTAAGTGATGCTTTCTGGTATCCAGAAGGTTTGGTTACTGACCTCAACATAGAAACAGGTAATAAAGTATAAAACAATTTCCCACTAAATAGCATGTAGGTATTATAGTTAGACCGGTATTTCTGGATTTGGGAAATGAGAGGGAGACTATTTACACCCTGAGGTGTGGCTGGGGGAGTGAGGTAACCTTTCTTACAGACACTGTTTTCAAAGCTTGCATGTGATCATACAGAAAGCTAACAGATTAACGGAAAGTTAATCATGAAAACGGTATGGGGCATAAAAAAGCCTATGTCCATGTAACGTGGTGACATTTAGCATTTTGTACTGGATCCTTATTTTCTTGGACGCGTTCTCGGAGTCATTTAAGGTAGAACGTGAAAAGGTAGAACGTGAAACCTGAGGCCGTGAACGATCATAAACGAGAGCACATGATTTTGAGTGCGTTTGATGAAAGTCCTCCATTTGTTTGCCTTGTTCCAAAAACCCCTCCCTCCCCCGCCTTGCTCACCTTTGCTCCCTGCTAAATTGTGGAAGTGACCATTACAGAACAGAGGCGGTTTTGTACGAAACCTCAGAAAAGTTAAAAGCTCGAAAGATAAACATGGTTGACACTGCCATGACGGAAAGGATTTTAATTTCTGCCGGGTCGTTAGATGGCAGACAGTGTAAGCGATGATGGAAAGAGGACGCAGACCTCTTCCACGACCATGGCCAGTGAGTGTTCGTACTGCTCGTGTTCCAGATTGTTCCGGATGTTTCCTGACTGCCGTACCTGGTGTGTTGTGTCTTTCTGGGTGTCTGTGCTGGCCTTCAGCTGAAGGAGATGTTCCCCGGATTTCGCCTGGCCCTGCCGCCTAAGCGCTGGTTTAAGGATAACTACAACACGAGCTTCCTGGAGGAGCGGCAGCTGGGGCTGCAGGCTTTTCTGCAGAACCTGGTGGCTCACAAAGATATCGCCAACAGGTACGTGTGTGTGTGTGTGTGTGTGTGTGAAAGACCTCAAATAGGGGCACCACCAAATGCTTTTCTTCCCTAAGTCCACTGCTTTCCCAGGCCTTTGAGTGGCCCCGCAAAAATCACTGACCTTAGGCCTGTATTTGAGTGCTGCAGAATAAAGGGCATTTGGCACAGAGCGGTAGGAATGGTCTGTAATCCACACAGGGGAACTTCTAAACCTCTTTGGGCGCAAAGCCGACCGCCATGATCTAAGTGCACAGAATCCCAGCTGGCGTTCTCTGTGGGGGCCGACGGGGTCTGGCCCAGAGAGCGTCATCTCCTGGTTCAGGGAGTCTGAAGTCACGTGTAAGTGATACTGGGACAGCTAAGCTGAGAGAGAGGACGTTTCAGTTAGCAGGAGGGGTGGCTGAGGGTCATGTGACTGTCATGTGACCTGGCTGAGTCATCCAAGTGAGCACCTGAACATCAAAACGTTACGAGCCTCAATCTACTGGTAACACCGAAAACCATCTAAATTCATCTTAATTTTTTACAACTATTGAAAACCTTGCTCTCTCTTTGCTGGTTTTTAAAAAAATTTTAATTTATCTTTTTATACTATTTTGTTCTTTTTCTTTGTATTGCGTATTGCCTTTCAAGCACAATCCTGGAGCAGGTGGAAAAAACATTTCACTACACAGATGTACAGTGTATAATTATGTATGTGGCAAATCAAGCTTGAAACGTGAACATTGGTGAGTGGAGGCTGGGTGCTGAGACCCTGCTTTCCTACCCCTGGGCTTTCAGCAGTGACTCCTGTGCTAACTGCTAGCGCGCGTGCTAACTGCTAGCGCCCGTGCTAACTGCTAGCGCCCGTGCTAACTGCTAGCGCCCGTGCTAACTGCTAGCGCCCGTGCTAACTGCTAGCGTCCGTGCTAACTGCCCCTGTTCCCCATCCAGCATGGCTGTGCGGGAGTTCCTGTGCCTGGATGACCCACCAGGTCCCTTTGACAGCTTAGAAGAGAGTCGGGTAAGACCACCACCCTTTGCCCCATGTTCAGTGTTCCCATGTTCCCATTAATACATGGTGGAAATCTCGGCAAAGCTCCTGTATTCATCCTTGCAGCCTTTTTGGTTTCAGAATATGTTTAAAGTTGTGGTGCAGAGCCATATTAAGCACAGTGAATGTTGTGAAGGAGACATAGATTTGTCTTCTGCCTTTGAATCCTTTAGCTTGGGCCTCCATGCCCCTAATCCTCAGAAAAATCTGGGGCACGATGGATCACTTGTGGAATTTTACTCACTTGTGGAGATCGGAATTCCATCTGCTTGTACTCTGGCAGTGGTGTTGGTCCGCTTCCAGGTCCCAAGGGTAGGTTAAAGAGAGCCATTCCTCCTGCCTCTTCTCACTCTCAGGCATTCTGTGAAACCCTGGAGGAGACCAACTATCGCCTGCAGAAGGAACTGATGGAGAAGCAGAAGGAGCTTGAGGCCCTCAAGAAGGTCCTGCTTGAAAAGCAGGTACACATAGATGCTTTGGAGAAGCGGATGAGGTGAGGTCAAACATGGGAGGAGGGGGATGGGTGTGTGTTAGCAGCGCAATGAGTGTATGTTCGCCGCATGAAGGGCATGCAGTGCACGTTAGCGCCGTGATGGGTGCACGTTAGCGCCGTGATGGGTGCACGTTAGCGCCGTGATGGGTGCACGTTAGCGCCGTGATGGGTGCACGTTAGCGCCGTAGTGGATATACATTAGCGCCACGATAGGTGAACGTTAGCACCACAGTGGGTATACGTTAGCGCCGTGATGGGAGCATGTTAGCAGCGTAGTGGACACACATGGATGTGCGTTAGCGGCTTAGGTTTTGCGTTAGTGGAGTAACAGGCATGCGCACAGCAGCATGATAGGCTCACATTTGTGGAGTAGCAGACGCTCGTTAGTAGCTTATCGTGTGCTTTTTAGCGGTTTATTGGGCATACGTTAGCGCCATGATGGATGTGCCTTAGCAGAGTAGTGGGCACACTTTAGCATTGGCGGAGTAGCTGTTGCATATTAGCAGAGTAGGGGGTGCGCGTTGAGGAGCATTCGAGGGCTGTGATCGCCGAGTATGTTGTTGTGCCTTAATGAATGGAGTAGCTGTTTACCTTGCTGATCGCATGTGCATGTATATATGCAGCACAGCCTCCCTGAGCCCCGGCAGCCTGGACAGCCCCTGCCGACTCTCAGGCGTGGGCAGCGAGAGCAGCGCTGAGGTGGACGTGGAGTGTTCAGCAGTCGAGGCCGACCAGGACATGGAGGAACAAGAGAACAGGTACCCTGTTCGCTTCCGCTGCCCACAGTTCGAGCCAGTGCTGGCCCCCGGTGCCGCGCTGTCCTTGGAAAGCTTCAGAAAATCGATTTTAATACCTTGTGGAGATTCTGAGCTCTTAATCGTGAGTCATGCCGCGGATTATATTCCATCATCTCCATAGCAAGTGTAAATGGCAGGTAAGGAAGCTTAGGGTTAGACGAGTCCCGCGCCGTAATGGGACCACTGAACGCTCGTAAGCCGCTTTGCCTTGAGTCGAATCCGCTTGTGTGCGTTTCACCCTGTTGCAGCTGTGAGGTCCAGTTGCCTAGGAAGGAGCATTCAGCCTGCTGGTGCGGACCACCCCCGGGAAGTTCCCCCCCAGTCCTGCAGGTGGAGTCGATGCTGGAGGTGCAGCTGGAACACTGACGGCCCCGCCCGCCTGTGGCCTGCCCTCCTCTCCCACCCTTGCGCCATGGTCTCTCCTGCTATCTCTCCCATTCTGTGGAAGCGATCCTCTGATTTCCTCCGAGGTTCTAGTTCTGGGGAACCTCCCATTGCATGGATGAAGAGGTCGACTGCTCGGCCCCGGCATGGCGCCCCCGTACCTGCTGTTCTCCTCAGCAGGCTGCTCTCTCTGCTCGACAGTCCCAGGGAACGGTCCCCCGTCTGTTCGGATTTCATCACTCGCTCTTCTGGAAGAAGCCGGACGTTCCCTCACAGTTGTGTTCTCCAGCGGAGATGTTTAAGGATCCAAACCTTCTCTGTGACCCGAACTGGAAGGCAGAAGAACCGCTCTGCTTGTCTGAAAAGCCGCAGTGGGAGAGACATTACCTTCATTAAACTGGGCTGTTTCCCCCATGTGGGGCAGCGGAAGCTGGGCCTGGCGTTGAAGCCGTATCACTTTCTCGTTCTGGGGACTGTCTTCCTCGGAGCTGCTCTCATGCTGCTGTTACAGGGACACAGGGCTCCATTTTCTCGCCGGCACTACACAGAACCTCGGTGTGCGTTACTCTCCGTGGATGTTTTACGTTAAATATGGCTGCTCTCACTTTATAAACAGTCCGCTAAAAAAAAGGCTGACGGGAGGCCTAGTGCATGCATTTCCCAGTGGTACCACTAGGCGGTGCCTTGGTACAGTGGCACACTGCCACTGACCAGCTTAGGAAGGAACTGCTACCAATCATCTTTCCGTCTCGAGTTTAAATCACAGCCAAGCCAGTGCACAGCACTTTGTGTCATCAGTTGAGTAGTAGGTTTACTCTGGAATATCATTTTTTTTAAAGGATTTATTTTGTGGGATGTTTACTTTTTTGGACATTGAATGTTTTCCTACTTATCGAGGTGACACATCAGTGAAGGTGACCCCTTAAACACACTACGGGGCTCTCTGAGTCCCCTTCTTAGCGTACAACCTCCGGCGACCCTCCTTTGCATCGCGTGACTTTGCTTGTGGTGCCCTTGAGTTCCATATCCTGGAGGTTTCACAATCTGCTTTGGGTTTTACAATCCACAATCGTTACTCATAACTGAAAGTTTCTTTTCCATTTTAAAACACTCCGAGCTGTGGCTCATTCTTGGGTGAAACGCCTTCCTGGGTGTAGGACTTCCCTCACAGTACATGCCCATCAGCTGCTGCCTGTGAACTCGCTGAGCTCTCTGTTGCTCCCGCTCAGGTCAGACGGCTGCGTCCAGGCTCTCCGGTAGCCTTTGTGGCATACATTCGCTCTGTGTCCCGCTTCTCACAATCTCGACCTGCAAAATGAGGTGGCTCTTTAATGAAGTGCCTTAACTGTCTCGTCCGTTTATGTATCGCCACCTCTGTGCCTGATTTATTTTTCCTGGTTTGGCCGTGACCTTTTTCCGGTGATCCTTTGGCCCCCCTCCCTGCTTCTTGCCCTGTTTTTTTTTTTGAGTTGGCTTTCTGATAGTAGCTAAGCTGTAGTTTGTCCTCCAAAT